TACACACACATACATACATATATAATGAGAAAAAATATATGTATACAGATATATAATACACACACACACATATATAATGATAAATTTACCATCTTTAGGAAATAGGGAAATGAAAATCAAAACTACACTACATTTCATCTCACTTTGTTTAGAATGGCAGTCATTTGAATACAAACAATAATAAATACTGGAGATATTGTGGAATAAAATTGATACATTCTCATCCTTGGAGGGATTGTAACTGTGGAAATCAGTAGGAAGTTCCTCAAAACACTAGAAATGAAAAACCACATGATACAACTATATCATCGCTTGGTATTTAACATAAAATATTGAAGTTAGGATATTATAGTGATACATGCATGGCCAGATTTAAAGGAGCACAACTTAAAATATGGAACTGGCCTCCATGTGTACCAGTAGATGTATGGATAAGAAAATGTGGGGTAAATCCGCAGTAGAAGCTCATTCAGTCATAAAGAAGGATGAAATTATTATTTACAGGAGAATGTATGGAACTGGAGAATATATATGAAGTGAAAAAAGTCAACTCAGAAAGTCAAGGTTCATGTTTTCCCTCATGTGTGGAAGCTACAAAGAAAGGAAATGTATAGAGGGAGCTCTTATGACAATCAGAGGGAGATCAGTAGAGGAAGGGACCAGGCACAAGGAGGAGGGAAGAATAAGAAAAAAGAAGAGATGCTGGGAGGGTAATGGCAAAGTTATAGTGTTCTACTTTGTGCATGTGTGACTGCCTTGTAACATCACAGCATTACGTGTAAGTATCATGCACTAAGGAAAATGCAGGAAAAAAGAAAGGGTACCTTCCAGCTAATCTGCAATCCCAGTGTCTGAAGTTCTCTGCATCCTATTCCTCCCCTCCTGTTGGAGGCGACCCCAGGAGGAGTTTCCATCTCAGGGCCAGTGCCAACTGGGAATCATAGCATGCGCGAGAAGGCAAGTAGAGAGTGAAGGTTGCAGGTTCTCTCTGGGGTACCTTCATCCCCAAATTTGGAAACAGTAGCCAGCTCCAGGAGAGTTGCTCCCTATGTGCATATCCTGACATATGCTGGGTTATAATGTCCATCGGCTTCGCTACTGGACTGTGGCAACTCATGCTTGTGCTGTTATCATCCAGGCAGGTGTCCCAAGCCAGTCCTCACTACATAGGGCTCCTCATTGTTTCACAAGAGAAATATTGAGAGAGTGGTGACATAAAATGATAACGTAGCTATTAGGGAAATAAGAAATTATTTTATTCTGAGGCAAACTAAGAAATTAGTTTATTAGTTTTATCATGGCCTTGATAATACACAGGTTCATGTTACTGTTCATAACATGTTCCACCATGGAAGTGCTTTGATGAACTTTTATGCCCATGGAACAAAGACCATGAATCTGTAGGTTTACCAAATTCTTCACTGGAGTCCTTATGTAGGCAGGCAAGGAGACCTGCTTTATAGTTTTCAGAAATTATCTTGTAGAATTTGTAGCTTTAAGATTGATGTAGGGAAGAGGTTGGCTAAGCTTAGTGATACATTTTCATAATATCACAAGGATGTTCGATTAGATAAAATAGTTAAAAATACACAGCTTTTTTTTTTGTTTGTTTTTTGTTTTTTTGTACAGAGATTGAGTTCAGGGGCACCCGACGATTGAGCCACACCTCCAGGACTATTTTATATTTTATTTAGAGAAAGGGTCACACTGAGTTGCTTAGCAACTCGCTTTTTG